CCATTCACCGGGAGCAGGAACAAATAAAAGCAAATGTAATGGTAAAAACTTTAGTCGGTTAAATAACATGCTGCTGTCATTTTGCACATCTCGCATTGCTATTTTCAAATATCCATTAATGTAAAATGTCCATAGCTGCATATTGGTTATTTTCCCTTTTTATACTGTTAAAACACTTTACAGAACTGTTGATATTAACTCTTCCATATTATGTTCTCATACATTTTTCTAAGGTCCACATTTGTGTGACAATTTTCAATAATCTTTCTGCTGCTGTAAATTTGCCCATTGTGGGACAAAGTGATTTTCTATTCTATACAAGGGGTAGAAAGATAAGTAAATCTAAACAATGTATGTATAAAAAATATAGCTGCAAAATCTCTAATATTCAACAACAAAAAATACTTAAGCATATAGTCGAAAACGGCAAAAAAATCAGATTTACCCCCAGATTTCACATACTCCGTCAGCGCTCCGGCCCGCGGCGGATCAGTTCCATGCAAATTAATAGCAATATAGATCTGTCAATTGTTTTTATATTATAAATACCACAATAGACATATCATTTTTAGTGCCATTAAGGCCTTGATTTAAAAAAATAATGAATTGTAATTTTCAATGATCCGCGGAAACCCTGGTTCATCTCGCGCATGCCCTCTACGATCTCCAAGGAACTTGGAGCGGAGCGGACAGGAGCCACAGCGGAGGCTGTAGGCTTTGCTTTGCCCAGGCGGTCTGGAGCACAACAGAGTGCTGACAGAGTATTGGGATTTCAGGTTTATAGTCCCCACACTGCAGATATTAGAATCTGTCTTTAAATTTCAGCCAAACCCATTTAGACAGTAACAGATAAAAACGTTCAGATATATCAAACATTACCGCTGCTTATCTGACTCTAACCATTTAAACGATTTTCATTCATTTCAGACAGAACTGTTCAGACTTGTATTATATTAAAATGAACTTCCAATTTTCACCACTGTTCGGTGCCAAGTAACCTCTGATCACAGCGCAAATTACAGCTTGCTTGGTCTCTCAATGAATCCTGGGTAAACCAAGGATGGCGAGGATACATCGGACCCGTCCTTCAAATCGGGCAAAAAGGACGCATTTTAAGGTCTCATAACAAGGACTCTTGGAATCGGCTAGACCTCGGCGCTGCGCTATGACTTAGTCGTCCTTCGAATCTGGCCTAAGGACGCGTCCCAGGATTTCGAACAGAGCATAAATGTTGTGCTTTGTAATGACTGTTTCTTTACTCCTTTGGTAGTGGTCATTAAATTCACTTTAACTGAACTTTATTGTTTTTATAAATTTCATGTCAACACTTTGAGCATGTATTGACCTGGACAACCAATGAGCAATGGGGAGGCTAGATTCCATTTTGACATTCTAGAGGCTCTCAAACTGTCCTTGTGACCCACTGTCTTTAAATTTCTGCTCCGGCCACTGATCTCTATTTATTCACTGGATTGCTGGTCGCCTGATGGTGATTCCACCATCTGCCATGTTGGTACAACCCACAGAGACTTGCAGTAAAATGCCTACATGAGAAGCATTTGGCTGCAAAAAATGAGCAGTTTGCTGGCTATGAAAGTCTAACAAGTGTATGTGCTAACCAAAAAAATCCATATATACGCTGATGTAACATAACACTTGTCTGGCTATCTTAGACTGACTTGAAGAAATTGACTGAGTTGGCCATTAACATTGTGTCAAACGTAAGAAAATATGTGTAAATAGAAATTCACTGTGCAATGTAAATGAAGTCAATATGAAACAGCAAGTGAGAGTCAAAGAGGTGAATTTATCTTAATTTCTAAGTCCCCCTGAATATTGTCAATGCTGTAGCGCACATTTATGTTGCAACT